TGTGAGTCAGTTCGTTATCAGACTTCCGCTGCATAAATGCTCATCCTATATTGGTTGATCTTTGGTTCTGCCCATACTCATTGAAGTATGTAACAGTTTTGGTATCGGAGCAGACCAAAATGGATCTGCTCACCAGGTTAGTCCGTTTAGAATTAGGCTATCATGTTTGATCTTCTAAATCGGCGTTGAAGTATTATCAAGTTCAAAGTTGCAAATTTTCTTTCTTTCGGTAGTCTGGCTATTTCAGCATTTCCGTTTCAATTCAGTATTCGGACCTTTTTTTTTTTGGATTTCTGTTGTACACGGTATGCTGTTTAATTAGATCCAAGAGATTGATACTAATCCAACATTCTGTTTTGATTCGGATTTCTGATGAGGTAATTCGTAATTAGGGTTGAATCAGTATCATGTTAGAAATTCGGCTTTTCTGATTTTCATTCAGCATTCCGTTTTTCGGCATTCTGTTGTAGATTCTATATTTCGTTTTCTCTTGAGATCTCCGTTGTCTTTCAGTATGGGAATTAGGGTTATGAAAATCTTTTGGCTTTAGATCAAGTTGGGGAAACTCGAACGTTTTGGGACCGTAAATCCGAAAATTTCGCCGAAACACGAAAATTAGGGTCGGGACCGAAATTTTCGCGAATTTTTTTTTCGTTCTCCTTGTTTGAAAAATTCCGAAAATAGGTTTAGGCTTTTAAAAATCGGATTTTGACGGTGGGACTTCCCAAAAATTCGCATTTTTAAAAATTCGAGCATTTTTCTTCTGAAATTTTCTGAATTTTTTTTAGCACACTAAGCCGTATCTGACCTTAAATTGCAACTACCGGACAGTTCACGTATTAAACGGAGAACTCCCGGTCTCATAGTGATCTCAAAGAGACCTAATCATAATACCTTTTAAATTCGTTTATTAATTGGTTATCTTTATTTACAAACATTGTTTTACTGATTATCATTAATTGGTTATCTTTATTACAAACATTGTTTACTGATTATCATTCGGAGTTATTTCGTTAATTATCATTAATTAATTTTATTGATGAAATCGTTATAAAGTCCTTATTACGAATTTTTCGAAGGGTTTACGGGAAATTGATTCTTTTTCTTGTTTGATTAGGTGTCTACAGTCCATCAGTGGGACAGGGGATTGTATGTATATTGCTTGATTGTTCTACCCCTGTTCCCACTCTCCCTACCCCCCGTATTCTGTGATTAACGGGACTTCTCAAGTACCGCATCGGTTTGGACTGATGTCGACGGAACAGGACACCGGGGCACTGCCACAACGCAGTGCCAGAATCGCAGTTCGTGCCCGCCCTGCAGTACCTCCAAGACCGAAGAAACTCAGCAGACGGACGACTCCAGCAGCATCAAGTACGRCATTGACGGTACAAGACGCCACCGGAGATCATCCTGCATACCCAGTCCGAGGAGCCAATGAGCCAGCGGTTGATTATCGTGGGCGGCTACTGGCATTTACGGAAGCCGTAGCTGCCGTCGAGGCCCAGAAGGAGACAGCAGAGGCAGAACGTCAGYGGCTAGCCAATGAAGCGGCAGCCGAAGCTCAGCGAACGATTGAGACTGACGCAGCGACACAAGACAGACGGAATGCCAGCAGCATGGAGTCCTTGATTGCTTGTGAGCATCTGTGGACGACGATACTCCAAGACATGATCTTTGTGCCTACCAAAACGCAGGCAGACCCGACACCGGCGGAGGCAGAGAGAAGTAACCTGGCTAACTTGCTGTTGGGCATGATGAGAGGTATTATGTGGAATAATACACTGTTGCAATCACATCTGCGCACGGACGCGACGGAGCGACAAACATACAAGAATGATATGACTACGTTAACAACTGCTATCCGTACAGAGGCAATGCAGCAGCAGCAACAGCATCAACTGTTGAATTCCACCATCACACGCGTCAACAGCATAGAGGCTAACACCTCAGCAGCGCCAGGCTGCACGACAGACGTGACGAAGCAACTCAACGAGCGCATCGATCACGTCGTCACCATCATCGGAGACATAAGTACTTTCAACGGACCAGACTCGATCAGCAGCACGGTGGCCGCCATCAAGACGGACATCACCAAGCTACAGACGAGATCGGAAGCTGCTGCAAAGACGTTCAAGATGCCGGACTTCGACATCAGCAAGTTCGACAATTACAACAAGTCGGACGCCTTGTCATGGTGGCAACGTTTCCTTACGGAAGCATCATGTCGCATGGTCCCGGCGGACGACATGTTGAAGGCACTATATCTGTAGCTGATTGGAGGAGCGCAAAGATGGATGAACCACCTAGCGGCTACACACAAGTGCACTATCGCCGAACTCCACACGCACATTACGTGGAAGGAGTTCGAGCAGCTATGGTTCACCCRGTTCATGGTCCGCAACGTCATGAAGGCGGCTATGAATGAGGTGTACACATGCTCTCAAGGGAACATGCCAACTCGAGACTGGACAACGAAGTGGCAAAAGATAGTGACCACAGCAGGCTTCGACTTGACGTTTCCGAATCAACGATCCGAGTTCTTCTCGCGATCGTGCGCGGGGTTGTGGTCGGCACTCGGTAATGAGTACGACTATACCACATTCCAKGCCATTCTGGATCGAGCGAACTTGGTCATCCAAACGGACGACAAGGCCGCTAACGAGAGACAATCCCAGCCGCACTATGTGGCTAAGCAGACCTATCAACGTCCAGCACATAACAATGCCGTGTTTTCTGAGGAAATTGACGACCACCACGCCGCAGCAGCATCCTCGAGTGATGGAGGAATTGTCGCAGCGCTCCCGCCGAAGCATCCGAAGAGA